GTTTTTCTCATGCCTTGTCTTTCTTTTTGCATGTTGCCTATCTATTGTGCAAAGTAATATACATTTTAGGATTAGAAATACTCTTATGCATCAGAAAGTTTTCAAATTTCACATGCAAAATCTTTATAATGTCAAGATAGTTATCAAATGTTTCTTAAGAAAAAACTTAATATTTTATCTGTTATTTTCACTAATTAATCTCTGTACAGGTTCGGTTGATTTCACTGATCTCACAATCACCATAAAAAATTAGGAAATAAATATAAATTATGCCTCTTTCATTCTAGAATGCACACAAATTATAACATGAAAACATTAATGTTTAGACTAAATAGCTTAATTCTTATAACATTATACATTTATATATATTTATTATTTTTATTATAATGACCTTTCAGCCATGCCTGGCTAACAATATAGAAGTTACAATGATGCGGCTCACGTACACTCATGTTACTGTATCAAATAACATAAAACTGACCTTTGGTCTGTGCAAAGTAACTTGTCTTGGCTGTGTTTTAGTAGACTAGTATTTTGTAAAAATTTTTATTTTCACTAATGAATCTCTGTGCAGGTTCAGTAGATTTGACCTATCTTGTAACCACCATAAAAAATTGTGAAATAAATATAAATTATGCCTCTTTTGTTCTAGAATGACAACAAATTATAACACAGAAACATAAATATTTAGACTAAATAGCTTAAATGTCATAACATTATACATTTATATATATTTATTATTTTTATTATATTGACCTTTCAGCCGTGCCTGGCTAACAATACAGAAGTTACAATGATGCGGCACACGTGCTCTCGTGTTATTGTATCCAATAGTATAAAACTGATATTTAGTCTTTACAAAGTGACCTGTATTGTCTGTGTTTTAGTCAAATTTCAGTTGTTATACATTATATATGTACTTAGATTATTGCTATTTTGAAATAAGTTCTTAAACATATTTTTCCTAAAATATAGAACAGATAAATAAATAAAGAAGTAAAGCAAACAATTATATCTTCTAGTTACAACCTTTGTACTCAGTTGCACATGGAGGACATGAAACAAAATATATTTTTTAGGTTTTATATATACATTTGAATAACTAAAAAATCATAAATTACTACATTAATACCATAGAATTCCACTA